TTCYTCAAWCATTMTTTCATGTATTAATTATTCAATGTGAGATATCATTGATTGAACATTCTTTGGGCTCATTGGCTTTGYATGATGRTTATGGGACTAAATTCGATYACAAWAAGTTTTGTTTCCAYAGTATGGAATGGCACTCAGATCATTTAACATCACATTACCCAACACTAAGAAARCACCATATGGGATACCCTGATCTTGGTKGGCAAYTGSCTGTCTTCTGCAAAAACAAATGGAGGGTGCAATAAATGCCTCCGTTAGCCAACCAATTGACTATGGTGCACTGTACTATAACCTAAACTTTTGCACAGAAGCCAGTGCCCTTGATAATTCTCACTGCTCTGGACTTGTTACCATAGAAATAAAAAGAAACTTGTTTTTGTGTTGAATCCATGTAAACTTCTGTATCCCATTTTGCAAAGAAATTAGTACCTTGACAAAAAATAGGTTATTGTTTTGAAACAGTAGGAGTTCAGACAGAAACACTTAAAGCAGTCATTCCAACATTCCCAAGACTTTAGTTCACTAAATGCTGGTGTCATTGGTCATTCCAAGATTCTTTAAGAGAACCCAATTCTTTCCAAGACTAAAAATGAGTCATTGTCATCATTCATCATTCCAAGATTTAAGAGATAGACTCAAAAATGAGACATCATTGCCATTAGTCATTCCAAAATAAAAGAGAACCCAGATCTTCCCAAGACTAAAAAATGAGCCATTGTGGCCATTGGTCGTCATTCCAAGATTTAAGAGAACTAAGTTACTCCCAAGACTCAAAAAACGAGTCATTGCGGTCATTAGTTATTCCAAAATAAAAGAGAACCCAATTCCTCCCAAGACTAAAAAATGAGTCATTGTGGTCATCATTAGTCATTCCAAAATGAAAGAGAACCCAATTCCCTTAAGAATGTCACTAGTACTTGTTGAAGAATGAAAAATCATTATGATTGTTAGTCATTCCAAACATTGTTAAGAGAAGAACCCAGCAGTTCCTTGTCCCGTTACTTGCTGGATATTCAGTCATTATTGTGATTGGTTGCTCCAACAAGGCAAAAGAGAACCCAAGCCTTGCCAGTACTACTACTAGTAGTAGTGGAGGCAGAGCCATGGTCATGACCTGGGAAATCACATTYTACCCAACAAAAGTAATGGGGACACCTTTGGCTATGGCTATGATGGGCATGGTGCACCTACTGGTGGTAAGACTAACAAAGGTGCTGCAGATGTTTTGTTGATGGACAAGTTTGAGTCCTAGTACAAGAAATACTACCAGTTCCTCTCAAATGTTGGGAGCAGTGACCCAGAGCAGAGTAGCCCTAATACCAGAGCCAAAGCCAAAGCCAAATCCAACGCCACTGGCTTCTACAACAAAAACTTATTGATGRCTTCCAACCTTGCTTCCAGGCCCACTGACAAATGTGACAACTACTATACCAATGAGCAGTCATTGTCATGGTTGATCATTTCAAAATAAATTAGAGAAGCCCATTCTCAAGAAGTGACAAATTCAGTCACAAGCCATACAAACATGGAAACAGAAGTGCTAAAATACCCAAGTTAGTGGTACTAACTTTTTAAAATATGCAACATTTTGAACTGGCACCACCAGAGTCAATAGGAAAGCCAGAACTTTCTTTTAACCCTGAAGTATTGGAACAGGCTCCCCTAAGCACACAAGACTGAAAATTTGGTGCGTTCTCCTCAATCTTGAGAAGACTGGTGATAATTTTTGCAACTCAAAATTTTGGCTCTCATTTGTTTGCCAGCTGACAATTTTGGGAGCTGAAATTTTTGCAAGACTGATTATACCTTCAATACCTGCGGCTAGCACTTGAATTTTCAATAATGCTTCATTTTGTGCTCAAATTGTACTATTTTTGTCAATCTCATTCCTCAGCTCATAATACAAAATTTGCAATTTTCAAAAAGATCAAACTCCATTATATATTTTACTGCTTACAACATTGGCAAACAACTCTACTCCAGTTTTAGCTTGTTTGTTGACAGTGATGACAGAGAGGATGAGGGTTTCCCTCCCCCCCTGTTGCTGTCACTCCTCTAAGATCTGCTCCTGCTCATGTGACTCTGATTGTTCCTCAATCCCTCCATCATGTTCTGTTCTATTCTGGCAACATCAGCAAAGAGAAAGCAAAATAATCCCAAACAATTTGCTTCACCATTGCAAAACACAAAAAATAACAATCAAAAGGGAGGAGACATTTTGTTCCAAAAGTTTGTGTCATCTGTTACAGCACATTTATCAACCATGCTGGAGAAGAAAGGTTCATTTCACTTCAAACATTGAGGAATGAATCTGTAAAGCAATTTCTATTGTTTGCAAATATTGACTGGACTGACGGCACACTCCAGTTTCTGAAAATGTAAAGGCACAGCTTAAAAAGCAATATACCCCAGTTTGTATCAAATTAAGGAACAGATCATTTACAGCTACAAGTTGGAAGAAGAGTTGGGGTCATATATTCTTTCACCAAAATCTTACATGACTTTGATACAGCAGGTGAAAGGAAAGGATGTTCCCMATTTGGGTGTATGCAGAGATTACAATACTTCATTGAACTCAATGAAGTACCCAAAAAGATCTAATGGCAAACCACAACTACTAACAGGTTATTGCCCACATGTACTGAAACAGTTGAACAAAGTAGAATTGGCTCAGACAGTCACTTCAATTATGGGTTGTACTGGTGCAAGTGCAAAGAAAATGAAGGTGAAAATGTTTACAATGCTATTGGCACATGGTCTTCCAAGTGTCTTGTTCACTAGTATTTCTCCTGAAGATCTTTATAACTATATGATATGGCGGGTCATGGTATCAGCATCTAATGAGGTTGATCCACCTGTTCCAAAGATAACTGATGGTGATACAATTTTGAATGATTTGTAATTGGTTGTGCAAACAGATGACTTCTGCATCCTAGCCTCTGTGCAAGTAATTATAATAGCAATTTCAGATCTTCTGGGATGGACAATGCATCAAAATCTGCATTTGGACCATTGGATGCATGCTGGGCTTACCAAAAAATCTTAACAAGGATAAAATCATTGCATGATATGCATTTCCTGTTGTGGGTTACAGATTGGGATATTATTTGGGATGGGATGAGTAGCCCCTTGAGGATTTTCAAACATTGCTAAGCAATATGCAAAATGTATCATGTCAACAAAACTGTATGTATCTATTGACTCCTCGTCCTCTATCTCTACAAATAAATACACAAACTGCGAGTCAACCATGATAGCATGCAGCAATTGCTGGTCATACAGGAAAATCAAAAGTAATTCATTCTATGCAACATTGATGTAAGATACTTTGTGCAGAATTGGGAGTGAACTTTTCCAATAGAACATTTCCTGTCACAGACATGACTAGAACAGCAGCAGCTAAAATCAATCAGGAAACAACTCATCATGCATGCTGTCTAAAATGTGACAGATCTTAACTTTACACAGGATGATGCATGGGAAAATGAGACTTGTTATCTTCTCACCATTCTTGTTGATGAGATATCATTTGTTAGCATCAAAGAGTTGGAAACATTGAATAAGTATCTCAACTTGTTCTTATGTAATAAGTCATTATACTATAACTTATATGGTAATCTTCCCATTGTTTTTCTGKGGGGTGACTTCAATCAACTTGTCAAACCAGTAGGAGGAGACTCACTCTTGTTGATGAAAAAGGACTTCTATCTTTGTAGTGATAGTAGAAAAAAACCCAATACATTTCTTGAACTTAAAACCAACCACAATTTTAAAAATAATGTAGTCTTGGGGAAGCTTTTTGTGATTTAAGAACAACAACAAATGGCTTGAAAGAAGAGCATGATGTTCAAATGATCAATTYAAGAACAATTGTAAAACCTTAGGACATACTCCCAGAAGATATTGMWWATGCAACATACAGCAACACAGAAAAATCTACAGTGAAGGATGGCATGTTTTCAGAGTTTCTCAAAACAACACATTCAAAGAATATAAATTGCAGGTAGCTAGATCACACAATTSTAATCAGAGCTTCAAACCTAAAACTAAAGATATTAGACARAAAAGAAAATACAGAGACATGATGCCAGATTTTCAGAAATGTCATTCTTGCTTGCTACTGACTGCTGCGTCAGATGTTGATATTGGTGCAGGTGGAATAAAATCTTCCAAAGGGATTACAGATTGAGAGAGATCTACGTCACAAAGCAAATGGAGCCATGTGTACACTCAAGTCAGCAAAACCAAAAAATGGGTACTACCAGGATTGAAATTATCAACATTGATGGATACTTTGTTTGTTGTGTGGTGGATGCTGACAAGTTTAAATGGATAGAGCTAGTAGTCCTTGAAGAAGGAAGCTAAAAAAAGGGATCAAGTTTACTTCACAAAGCTCTGCAGCACAGGGAAAATTTTGATGCTGTCCTCAAGAACACAACAAGTCTAAAATTTCACATTCCCAGCAATTAAAATTGCCAATGGAAGAACTGCTGTTCACAAATTATAGGGAAGATCTTTAGAAAATGTGTTTATTTCAACTTGGTCTGCTCACACAAAGCAATTGTATTTATGTTGTGCTTTCAATAAAAGGAGAGGAGTTAGAACTTGTGTTCCAGTGGTCGCTCTGCCTGTTTGTGAGAACATCCTCTTCTTCTTCTTGTCTTCTCGGAAAACCACACTGCTGGTGCCAACAATATCAAACATACGTCACTTAGTAGATAGCAAATCAATGAATTCCATTCCTAGTTTAGAAACAACAAATTGCCACAGGATTTGTCCCCTTCACTTCTAAATTCTTCTCATTTTCCCACCTTCGTTGTCACTTAGTTTTTGCACCGTTGTAAATGCTTGCGTTAGCCAGCCAATTTTTTTCGGCAAATTCTATGGATCTCGGTCCAGTCGTGGATGACGTCAATCCCACATAATCATCGAGCAGTGCATGATTTCGGTCCAGCATCATCGTCGTCATCATTCCTATCCATTCGTACTCGCACTTTTACTTCTACTGTACCCTACCGTAMTCATTACAGTACGTGCTTTGAGGATTGGAAACCGAACTACGAAGTAATCGACGGGTTTCCATTTGGCCAAGTCTACATCTGTTAAAAGTGATTTGTTTGAGAAAGGAATAGATGCATTTTTTGACATGAATATAAGCTTCTCCACAACCGTGTCGACTTCGCTGGYTCTTACTATTGTCTGCTGCTACCCTGGAAGCGTTGCTCCGTTTTTGCTTGATGGCTCTCCGCACAGACCTGCAATCGCTCTTGTAGCAAAGCCAATAACSCCACCATCCAGTGTATTTCTATTTGCCGCAGMTGATGGAAATGACGAATACGATGACTTTTACGCTGACTTCGATCCGTCGGACTATGAAATTTACGACCAGGGTAGTCAAAGCAGTCATTGGGACGACGACCAATACACACGAGATATCGATGCCGATAATTCGCCAGTCGATTCCGAAGCAGTCATCGATCTGATTAAAAAACGGTCTGAAATGAGAAGTATGCGACAGTATAAAAAAGCCGAYAGTATTCTAGATGATCTGTTAGAGAACTTTGGCGTCATGGTTAGAGACAAAGACAGGAAATGGCGGACAGGGTGTTCTCAAAGCAAAWTCGATTCAAATTGGTTGCATGCGTCCACAAAACAGAAAGGAAACCTGAATGGCAGGAAGAACTTCGGGCCCAAGGGCCATGACTATGTCTATGATAGCGATGCTGGGCCCAGCATCGCATCGATATCGGAAGAAAAGATCGATGGATTGTTGGCCGAAATGCTTTCCTTCAAGTTCAAGAGAGATTACGACGGTGCTGATGCTATTCAAGAAGAATTATTGTCTGCTGGAGTCTTAATCGACGGAAAAACAAGGAAGTGGAGAGCCGATGGCAAATCCTTTTCGAAATTCGCTCCAAATGAATACAAGATGTTCCCACATGCCTACGACATATCCCATAACTTGAAAGAAATCGAAAAACTGATTAGCGAAAGGGCTTTGGCCCGGGCCGAACGATTGTTCCGGCGGTCGGATGAGATTCGGGATGATTTGTTAGAAAGATTTGATGTTCGCATAAACGACAAACTGCTCCTGTGGAGTGTTGGTGCGGACCAAACATGGGGCAAGGCATACGAGTCCTACACAATGTCGGATAGATCTGCAGCACCGAGCGATGCTGCGTTGGTCGAAAAATTAGTGAAGGAGCGGGATATTGCCAGGGGCAACAGAGACTTCGGAAAGGCAGATGAACTTCGTAGTCAGTTGTTGGATTTGAACGTCACCGTTGATGACAAGAAAAGGATATGGTACGTTCACAAAGGGTCAAAAACGGSTGGTAGGACTATTTTGAACAGCAAAGATTCTTCAGCCTATATCTATCGCGGCAGGCAACAACAACTCCCACCGGACGAGTTCAATGAAATTCAGAATTTGGTTAATGAACGAGATGGACACAAGAAGAAGAAAAGGTACAGAAATGCGGACGCTAYTCGATCTCGATTACTTAAGGATTACGGTGTAAGAGTTGAAGATGGCACTCGTGAATGGTATGTTGCTGGTAACGAATATTGCATGGCCCAAAATAGTGCTGAAATTGACGAAGAAAGTCGTAGTAAGGTTGAAGAAATGATTAAAGATCGGACGCTAGCTAGGGGCGAGAGGGATTATGAGAAAGCAGACACGATTAAGAATGAGTTATTTGAGATCTACAACGTCGCCATTGACGACATCAACAAGGAATGGAGGAAAAAGAAATCATTTTAGTTAGCTGCTCATGACAGATGACAAAAACGTATGTAATATTCAACACTTACTTTCGAATGCTATATTTTTGTAATACAACAATGTATTGACCAGTACTACTACCATTAGTTAGAGTAAGTGTATGGTTYGAGTTTTCAATTTGTTTCAGTAGAAAGAATTAGGAAAACATAAGATGATTGACAATCGGAAATAAGTTCTTTGTGTTCCGACTCTTTAGTTGATTTGTTAATGAGAGAAAGTTTGGCTTTATTCTGAAATAAGGCTGCACCAGCTACTGGTGACAGAACCTCATGCTTTTCAGGTGGATTTGTTCACTTTTTGACTTCTTCAAGTGCATGTTTAGCGTCTTCAAGTGTTATCATAATATCGTTGACACCACTACCATCTTTACGAGCCCGAGACAATGCCAGTGATCCAGCCTAGAAAGTGAAATTGACGAGAAATTTTCTSTGAGAATACAAATACTAATTTTTCAGTTCGATTCAAACATATCAAAATTATACTCACCGATCTCACCAAACCAGCAATGTCAGCACCACTGAAACCCTCAGTTTCAGCTGCTAGATCGTAACACGGTCTTACTTTCTGAAACAATTTTGATAATCCCCGTTTGAGTGCGTCGCGCTTTTTCTCTTTGGTGGCTTCGTCACTGTTTAATTTTAAATAGGTGGGAAACTTTTCGCTCATAATGAGCTCATGTTTTGACGAGCACGGAATACCATCTATCGCACAACACAATGGTATGCTTAATTTTCCTTTCTGACGTAGGATACCGAAATGAATTTTTAATATCTCTCTTCTTCCATCTTTGTCCGGCATCGGGACTTCAATTTGGACCTCCAATCGACCTGGTCGCAATAAAGCAGAATCTAAAAGTTCCCGGCGATTTGTCATTCCAATCATGAGAATGTTGTCGATCGARTTGACACCATCTAATTTCGAAAGAATCTGGTTCACTACGCTTGCCTGTCTCACGTAAAAACATCAGAAAAGGCATTTGTTGTGATTGCCATTCGATGGAGGGCACGTGGTCAGAGAGCTGAATTACCAAATTATTCTCTGGAAACACAGGTACAGTAATTCGAGAAGTGTATTACGCCATCAATTCACATTCCAAGTTAGTACTCACTCTAGTTTGCTCTCCAGAGTCTTCTCCTGCGCTTCGACGACGGAATACGGCATCAATTTCATCAATAACGACAACATGTAATGCAGACTTAGTAGCATCTCCGTTGCACGCTGCTAGTTCTGCTTCCGCTTCAACAAATAGCTCTCTCACAAGCTTTTCCGACCCCCTAGAAAAACGGGCAAACAATGCAGAAATCTGTAAGAACAATGTTCCATAGTTTTGCTAGCTATAAGTCTACGCGAATGTTAATTATACGTCACTTACCCAACCCATCTATCAAGCAGCTCCGGAGCGGATACAATTTTTGGTGATCTCGCACGAAGAGCTTTTGCTATTTGACGAGCCAACAGAGTTTTACCCGTACCAGGAGGACCATACAGTAACAATCCCCGAACTGGTGTGAGTCCTAGAATGGCTAGTTCTTGTGCTTCTAAGGACGCCGTCTGTAGAGCCGTCGTCGTCTCGTCTTTTTCGATAACGCCACCGTCTTCTGCAGCAGGTCGGATGACTCGACCATCTAAGACTCGTCGCACGATCGCATCAATTTGTGGCTTTAGGCCACCGACGTCTTCCTTAAAGTCCGCTTTGAAAGCATCGTTCCGGTCCTTTCCTGCCTGCGAGACGGGAGAATACCCAGAAAGGACATCAGCTYCACTGCTTTCGCCAGTTTCGACGGGAATGATACCAAAAACGTCTTGCGGCTTCCAGACATAATTCTGCACAACCATCTCGCTACTGCTAGAAGTCATGTCCGTTGGTAAGGCCTGACCGCGTGGCAACAGCGTTATTTCCAATACTGCTGCACTTCCAATGTCCACCGACTCATACATTCGGTCCGCTCCACCGTATTGGATCCAGGCTGGAATGTTTTCGGATGCAGAGACTTTGGTAGCGCTTCGCTCTCCGGTTCTTCGTGGGGGTCTGCGACTGTTGGATGAACTTAGCATGCGATACCTCGTGACTCCTCCRTACAGCAATTTCCCGTAAATCAGTGACGCGGGAGGCTCCCTCATCGGGCGTGACAGGGATGATCCAGAAGGGAGCAAAATGAGCTTCGCGCCCATGCGGGACAAAAACTGAATCCGGCTTTGTTCTATCAGGTCGAAATCCTCGTCTGACATTGTTTCATTGGCGATCACTCTGAGTTCTGGGGACAAATCAATGACCATCGGGGTGGGAGTGGATTTCATCCAGCGTATCCAAGCAGATGCTTCGTCGCGATCCAATCCGCTTCTTTCTTCTGCCAATTTTAGTTTCATTCTATCTATAGCTTTTTGCAGAACAAATGCAGTCTCATCATTAATCCAATTGGTAGTAGAGGATGAAACGAGTTCGGAATGTTCCGCCTTGGCATCTCGGCGTTTGTCGCTATCGAAAAGGCAAGACGCAGCGCAGCCCGCAACAATATCGAAAATGGAGTCCTGATCGGTCGCTGATGCAACATCGTTTTCATCAAGATCGACAGTTTTTGAATTTTCCGGCGGAGCGGCCGTGGAGGCAAAAGAAAGCGCCATATGCTCTCGGCGCAACAACTTTATCCGTGACGACAAAAAGTTATGATCATTTTTGAGATAGCAGAACGAGAGCTCAATCAGAATGGAGAACACTAATAGCTGGAGTAGGAACAAGAATTTTGTTGACTGCTTTCGATTCGAAAACTCCATGATCTACGAAGAAGTAGTATTTCCACCGATTTTCCTGGAATTGTGCTGGGTCCTAYCGAATACCACTGAACAAGATATCGATTGCGAACTTGCCTCCACTAGCACTCGGTAACGGCGATGTTATTTGTTAGATGTAAGGTACTTTACCGTAAAGTACACATCTTGTCGGAATAACAACATCATTCTTTTTCGATRAAGAATGATGAAAGTCCTAGCTTTTTGAGTGAGTACGGTACGTACGTACTCGTACGTACGGTATGGCATCGCTGCGGTACTCATCCAAAATGGTGTAATCTTTTACAACTGTCCGGTAGGTACGGACAAAATATGAACGTACGTACTTTACCGTGCCGTAGATGCTGCATATTAAGTACCATACGTAGCACGTACGAGGTTCTGTACTTAGAAGTAAACTAGGCGTAGTACTGTATTGTTTTATCTGTTCAGTAGCGTTACGTACGGTACGTACCGGTACGTACTTACTCTTAATCGTAAAATTATGAGTACGGTACGGATAGGGTCAGTACCGTACTGTACCGTACGGTACGAAAATACATTCTTTGGAGCCAACATGTTTTCTGAATTTCTTCGTTCCCCCCAATTAACTGCTTCCCCCAAGTGATAGAAATAATGAGTGAGGAATACCATTCCAAACTTTCACAAGCCCATACCGTGTGGTTTCTGATATATTTGCCAAACCACGTGTCCACAAAGTGTTCCACAAAAGTTGGAACTAAGTTTTGCATAAGTTCCAAAGAGAGTACACAAGAATTTTGGTGTTGYGAAGAGGACACGGTGCCGGTCAGAGGGGTCCTATTCTGGTGTGAATRATGTCTCATAGATGAAACTGTGGGGCTAAAATTTTATTGGTTTACGATTGCCGTCCTCCGGCTAGTTCTTGTTTAATGATGGATATATTTTGCAGGGCATTCGCAACATCTGGGTCGTTTACGGCATTTTCCCCATCCTCTGCGTGGATTCGAGCAATGAGCAATGCCTGTTGAAAGTATTCGAGGGCAACGTGCTTCTCGTCAAAGACTCCGGCATGCAACGCCCCGAGCGAGTTTAGTGTCTTCGCCACCTCGGGATTGTTTTCGCCYCCGGCCGACTGCTTYGTTGCCAGCGCTTCTCGAAATTCGGTCAGCGCCAGTTCGTGTTCCCCCTGGTCGGCGTGGATTGTAGCGATGCTGTGAAGCAATACGCCCCGCATACCCAAACGTTGTTGGTCGGGGTTCGTCGATGTTGGCGTCGATGCTGACAGTTCGATCAAAAGATCCTGGTATACATTCAAGGCCTCGTTGCTTTCGTCGAGCGCCAAATGCATATCCGCAATGTGCATTTTCAGAGCCGATCGCGTGTCGATRTCGTCGACTGATACCACTTGCAATGCCTGCTGGTACTTGTCGAGAGCAACATGAAATTCCCCCCATAGCCGATAGATTAGACCTTGATTGTCCAGACACTTGTACAACAATGCTGGATTGGAATCCAGCATGGATTCTGACTGCTCCAAACAATCTAGGGACTCATCGAGTTGGTTCCGGAAAAAATACCATCCGGCCAGAGAGATTAGTACGTGTCCTCGTTGGACAGAATTGTCCGTTCGTTCGAAATACTCCAGAGCTTCTTCGTAGAGATTTTTGGAATTAACAAAATCTTCTTGTCGCAAATAGAATTTTCCCTGAGCGTGAACCGAGTCGGCGTATTCGTCAGTTTCCTCGACAAAATACATATGACACTTGAAGGCTTCGATTTGTAGGGCCTCTTCCCAGTATTCCAGGCTCATGTATGCTCGTTGTAGATTTTCYAACAAATGACGCTCTTCGTCTTCATCGATATTGTCGTCCCCCATTTCGTGTCGGTTTATATARTCGGTCAGCGCTGTCTTGAGGCGTACCTCGTCCGCTGACAGTTCGAACGAGTCCTGTTTGAGAATGGACGACGAGGATGGCGGTAGCTTTGAATTTTTTCCAAAGAAAGGGAGATGGATATCGTCGGTACTCTTTCCACCACTGTTCTCGCTAAAAAGTCGGGGAAACTGCCGTATATCGTGACCGAACGACTTTTGGCAACAACGGTGGTGTTGATTATAGAAGAGGGCTGAAGAAGATGGTGCTGTAAAGGTCGCTGAAAGATTCGCTCCCGCCAACGACCTCCCAGAGTTAAAATTGCGCAAAATCGATAATTCATGGCCGTGGATCCACTGTGTTGGTGTTTTTCGTAAGGATCCTCTTGTCGTGTCTGGGGTTGTGGTGCAACAAAGATGGCATGCCGATCGGAGCAGCCGGCGCGAAGTGCTTTTGAAGGATAAAACCGGAATCGTCATGGCTGAGCAACAAAATCTGTGGCTTGGGCACTGGTGATTGCTGTTGCTACAGGCATGAATTATTGTATGGCAAATGTCAGCTGTCAAATGACATTTGACGAGAATGAAGGATCACCAATACTGTATTGTTCGTTCACACTTTTCACCAATGTGATGTAAAGTTTTGAAATCAAAATGTCAATCAACCACTTTTAGTACCAGAGAATCTGCTACCAGCAGATCGTCAACAAGGAACTTGCGATGGGCAGACGGTCGCGCACATTTCAAAAACCATCGCTTATGTTTCAGAACACAGTTCCCGTACTCGTAATGGTACGAGATACATACTGGAAGAGTTCCTTCCTTACCATTCAGGAACATTCGAAACAAATTTGAAGGCACTCAAAATACCAACAACAGAGCTTGTGGCGAAGCATTGTCGTTGAGCAATGATCTGAGAAGTCTACCATACAGTGCGAATGGTAGACAATAAAGAATTTTGGGGCTGCCAAGTAACCATCTCACCGATTTGCAAGAAGAATTTGGAATATGATTTTTTTGTCTACCAGTCAATGCTTTCGGAAATATGCGGTGCGTTCCTTCGGATCGGCGAGAACTGTTCCTTTTACGACGAGATCTACCGATCATGGGTTTATAACGACGTCGGTGGGTGTAAAAAGAACGAGGGAAAGCACGTCCATCTTGGGGAACTCACTTCGACATCCAATRCCGCGTCTCTGCGATCCAATCAATAATTCGTTTTCTACTCATCGCCGCGCTGTAGAAATAGTGGAGAGCCACGACACAGGGGAAGAGGATCACCACCACGTCCAAGATGAGCGGCAGCAAAACAATGAGTACAAATTCATGACGGGTCCAAATCCAGGCTTAGCGTCAGTAATCTSTCAGGGACTTAAATCCTTGGACCAGACAGCGGAAGACATACGATACAAAACACGCAATGATACTCTGTCGCGAGCGCACAAGAAACCATCCTTTCGAAACGGACGCGCAGCGGAGATGGATCCACGTCAACTCGCCGAGGGGCAAAGGATTTTAGATGTGGCCTTGGATTGTCTCGAACAGCTCGCCCTGAAGGAGGAGCAAAACAAAACGCGCCAGCAACGAGGCGGTGGTGGTAGCAACGGATTGGTGTTGTTCGGAGAACCCATAGTGTTGCTGGAATGCGAGGTCAATCGGAATGTTCGACAGGCCAAGATTTATTGGACCTTGCCCTATGGAATATTGCTGGACAATAGAATCAATCAGGGTCTCTATCAAGAAATCATGGTCAAGGTGCAAAGACAGTTGGTCGAAAATGGAGGAGCGAAACTCTTGGCACGAGACGTGCACACCCGGCTGTCCCACTACTATCCACCGAGGATCAAACTATTTCCAGCCACCGATGAAATGGTGCAAAAGGCTATTGAAGAGTTCATGATGTAGTGTTGTATGCAATGCACTGTATTGGGAAGGTGAGCAGACCTAAAGCAGCTCAGCAACCCCCATCGAACAAGAACACGAAAGAACAGATCAAGTACCACGATTTATCGATACAACTGATAGCCCTTAGAAGATTGAAATCTTGTGCTTCCAAACACAAAGAGCCTGTAGATTAAGAAGTAGAGYACACAGCGTGTAGATTGTCACTCTGAACCAAGAGAGGATTACAGGTACTTCTATGACATCTCACTATGATGYACGACTTCATAGAAAGCGCGATTGTCTTTTCAAGGCAGAGGTTTTGCAACTCGTATCCACATCCCATTAGAAAGAACAGAAGGAAATTACCCTCGAAATTATATTGCCACTCCCAATAAAACCCRAAAGCTTCAAATGAATCAAAAATGGCTGTGAGTCTATTTCGTGATTCTCTGCAGTTGTGATTCGGCTTCTCTACCACCGCACCCCCCCTAGGATTAGTCATAGTCGAAATGGACCGACTCTGACGATTGCACCTCATGCAAAGCGATGTCGTCTTGCGTCAATTTGCTACCATTGAAACTATTCCAACATTTAAAACTCCCGTACGTTCTATCGGAAATCGATTCTGTAAGCCACTGCCATGACAGGTTTGCTTCGAACATCATCTCAGATTCGGTAAGCACTCGCCAAACCATSTTTGAAACATACATACTGTAATTATAATGACAGCTCGTATGAGTTGATWTCATGATTTCGCGTATTTCTCTTGTGGTTCATATATCAGTGGAGTTCTCAGAACGATCATCATTYTTGTTACAGTTGTTGCAGATCAAATTTTAACATTAACTATTGATCAATTTAGCTATACAATTTTATCAAGTCGATATACAATACCATGGAGAAGTGATTGTAAAAATAATTAGTATAATCACTGTTATGTGTTCGTTCTCTTTCCTGTTGTTACGTACAGTACGTGCGGTGTGTTATGTTATGTTTCGTCTACATTCTTAGCAGCAGCCCTTCCTGCCTCCTGGTCCAGACTTTTGGTTTAGTTGAACATTGCTGGCTTTTTGAGAAGGTCCTCCTTGTCCCTCTGCGACGAGTCTATCCTTCACACCTCTACCAATTCCGATGAAAGACTCGTCGACATTGATGTTATTCTTGGCGGAGCATTCCCAAAAGGGCATGTTAAATTCCTTTGCAAGCTTTTCTCCTTCTTCTGTGGAGACAACCTTTTCGTCCAGCATATCACATTTATTTCCTACAAGGATCTTGTTGACGTGAACATCCGCATGTTGCTGGATCTGTGAAATCCAATTGCGAATAGATTCGAAGGAACGACGGTCTGTGACGTCGTACACGAGGAGAATACCCTGGGCACCTCGGAAGTAAGAGGTCGTGATCGTTCGGAAACGTTCTTGCCCAGCCGTATCCCAAATTTGAAGCTTGATCTTTGTGCCGTCGATGTCAATGTTCTTGATCTTGAAATCGATTCCGATGGTGGTGATGAAGGTGGGACTGAATGAGTCGTTTGCGTAACGGAGCAACAAACAAGTCTTGCCGACTCCGGAGTCTCCGATCATCAATAATTTGATCTGGATATCGTATGGTGCGCTTCCTGACATGGTTAAAGCTATATTCTACAGAGTACTGGTGATTTTATTTCAACAAGAAGTATTCACTCTATCAACGAAGGCAAGAACTTTGGATGCAAAGACACTCGAACACAAAGGTGAATGTGACAGTTATTTCACTATTTTAATCCTGAGGGAGGTTGGTTTATTAAGAACGTTTTTTCGTGCTGCCTCGTGCCGTCTTTCGACATAGTACAGCACGCTACCGTACGAGTACGCGTACGGTGCAATACCAACTTTTCGAATTTTGCGCCACCACGTATTTTCGCTAATACTGTACGGAGTAGTTCGCGTGATGAAACAASTTGTTTTCCAGACATTAACTGCGGACTCTGACCAATAGAATGAAACAGCAGTGCAACACGCGAGCCAGCAAGACTCTCTACCCAACGTGCAACGGACGCGAATCCTCTTCGATTTTTTCAAAAGAGGTCTACATACGAAGTACGGGTACCGTACATATTCTCATATCACCAGGTCTGCCGTTGACAACTGTTTAATGCTCGTAGTACCCTTCGTACAGCTAACGGTACTACTCGTACTCGTATGTACGGTGTTTGCTCTGCGATCAGTCAAAAAAGGGTGGAGCACTCTAATAGAGGGCACCAGTGGAGTAGTACGTACGTACCGTAAGAACGAAGTACAAAACAGCAAGGACTGCAACTCATACTGCATGGTACGATGAAGTACGGTGCCTGGCACAGAACTTTTCGAAKTGAATGTAATCGTACTCGTTCAGTCGTGTATCGTGCGTCATGTCACACATCTCAACACCGTRAGGGAGAAGAAAATTTCATTTTAAAAAGCATCCGTCCATTCGTACTCGTAGTTCCAAACGGCAAAGTGCGTATGGTACCACTTTTTCGAACAGGAAGTATGTACTTCGAGGTAAAAAGCACGAATACGAGTACGTAGCTTCCACGTACCATACACCTTCTAGTACATCATGAGAACGAACATAAATTGAAATTACAGCTGTCATCGGAATTCATTTTTTTGTTTTCTCTGTTCACRACGCCTCTGATGGCACTTTCCAAAAGAGTAAACGTACGATACACAATCAATCAAGCTCGAGACCCGACAGAGAACTCAATAAATCGACCATGTTGACTCTCCAGCTATTCCTTTTCTTTCTAGCTCACCATGCTATATTTCCCTACCTCGAATCGGCATCTGCCTTTTTGATTGTAACAACAACCAGAGCAAGAAAATCACAAACAGCTCCGYCAACAACCCGATCGCCATCTTCGCATCCATTCTTGACAAATCATCCAGTCCCAAACGCCTTCGTTTTGAATGCCGGCTTCGAACAGCTTCCCGGGGAGAGCAACACCGACTTTATCAAGCGAATTACGAGCCAAAGTGACRATTTTATGGACCAACAAAAAGCTAAAGCAAAGAAAATGACRATGCCATCGCGACGGGGAAAGTYGTCGTCAAAYGAATCAATTACCGAGGAAGGAGAGAGTGACAAGCCGAAAGGAAAATACCAGCGCATCGAGGAATGGGATGCCGAGAAAAAAGCAAACGGGGAGCTCGCGTGGGAACAAAAGGTGCAATTCGATGGCCAAAGGTTCGGAAATCAAGTCAAACAAGACTCGATTCTYCGACGCCATTTGGGAACGTTTTAATAATWCTTTTGACAACCRTGGTAGYATKYTTGGATCTTATCGATCTCTTTTGASGAGTGAASGGGATCGAGCTGAACAAAAGAGACTTRTAGATTGAAGTTYGTTSACACTGKGAACTCRAATGGTCTCATTTTGTATTCCATACTTTTGGTGTTTCTTCAATGCTTTCGGATCTGATCGGGCACGTTGTTYTAGATGGGGCTTATTCTAGCTAATTGCCTCTTTCAATCGAAAGGGAAAGGTCTACCACGTCGGTAGATTCCGCTTGATCCCATTTTCGTATCGATGAGGATTTGGTGACACGGAGGGCTGCTTTGGATGCCTCCAATCATCTCTTCGAAAAAMGGTGACTACCTWCATGCAAACTAGAGACAAASAGATGGAGCTCAATGGAACCCTCATGTGTAGACARCAAAGAGTAAATTGTAATATTAAATTRTTGTAGTATTTMAGCTTTTGTAAATATCTTGTTAAAAGTAGGCCAAAAATAAGAGAGTTTATTGCAAAATTACTTGTTACTCGCTAGCAAGTTTGGAATTTGTTAAACATTCTTGGTTTGACAATATAATGGTAAAACCCAAAATACCTGCCTTGTTCTGATCCCTTACAAAAATTGTCAGCTGTGTTATTGCCAGCTAGATGCCTTTCATCATAATAAGAAGTACAATCAGTACTCCTGAGTATTCTTCACAAGAATGAGGTTCTTGATTTGATTACTACTACTAGTAGTACTACTACTAGTAGCAGTAGTGCTACTGCTAAGAAGCAAGAAGATAGTAGTACTAGCTGTGCCAGCTAATCTGCCGCAGTTTAAAAGAAATTTATAGTAGTAGTACTAGTAATATCTTTTTGCTGGTCCAACTAGTAGTTGTAAAAGAAGAATGATGTCCCCCACTTTCATTCTTATTTTTTACTGCAGTTTTTGGCAGTTGGATTAATGAGCAAATGATTCAATAATTATATTAGTCCTACTAAATAGTAGTATTCTGTGGTTTGCTTCTTCTTTTGAATAAGAGTGACTTCTTGTGCAAGCAAAATACAGTCCCATCAACTTTAGTTCTACTACCAGTGCTACTACTATGATGTGAAAGCATTTGCATATCGAAATGGCCATTAAGACCACCCTTCCAACCTGCTGCAAAATTTCATTCCCTTCATCTTGGCTAAGTAATACTACTACTAGTAGTAGTACTAGTACTACTACTAGTACTACTAGTAGTCACTCATAATCCTATTAATAATATACAATATTTTTGATAGACTGACACCACCCACCAGTAGACAAATAGTGGATTATTCAGATTGAGTTTTTAACAAGCTTTTTACTAGTAGAAGGCAAATCTGACCCATCATCATGAGGAGCATCAGGAGCACCAGGAAACTACTAGGAACAATAAAATTATTATTTACCACTAGTAGTAGTACTAGTAGTCTTCTTAATATTTTTAGTACTAGTACTACTGCAGTACTAGTAGTAGTAGACAAGGAGGAGTCCTACTCCCTCCTCCCTCCTACTATGACGACGAACATGGTGGTGCGGCTGCCAGCACCAGCACCACCAGCAGCATTCTTCTTCCCATGAGACACCAGTGTGCATGGTGCCTAATAAAGTCTATCTGTTGAAGTTGGGGGTAGTATTGATTTCTCTTACTCTGAACAATACAAACTGACAAAAGCAGCTTAAAAAGAAGTATTTGAATTTCCCAAATACAATTACTATTACAAGTAGAAATYATTTAGTTTACCTGTAAACAAGATGCAACTCGGACACTTATTTAGGAACAAAACAAGCCTCAAGTCTAAAATACTTCGAAGAAAGAAGGCTCTCATTTATTTGTGCTCGTGGTTTTGCAACTTCGAAAGACGAAAACGGGGGSTTGCGCGTGGAAATATTTGGGGAAGAAAAATTGGAAAGCGTGTGCTGTCCGTGTATTTGTGTGTGCTCAAGTCCACAAGTTCCCGAAGATCTTTTGGCGCCAGCTCCAGAATGCAAATGGGGAAGTGGCGAAGCACATCAAAATCCCAGCTGTGTGCCTCCCAAAAATGACTGGTCTTGTTTACCAGCGTGTTCTCTCTCCTATGGGAAACCCCCACGCGTCGACCATTAGGAACCGTAGATCCAGAAAGCAAGATAAAAAAGAATAAATCCAACGTACCGTTTGATTTAGAATACRAACAACAACGACTATCGTTACAATATCACAAAAAAATAGACACCATGGCTCATCTTCTATCTAAAAGCGTCAAGCAACTTGTCCGCAAGGTATGCAAAATTAAATCTGTTTGTGTTTCAATAGTATGCAAAACTGAAGTTTAAGAAAAGAATGCATCGATCGGTCATGGCTCAAACGTTGACCGCTGTCAATTCTGTCGTCTCGTATTTTTCGTCCTAAAGGCTCCTATCGGAAAGAGTTTCCGAAGTGTGACCACACTCCAGGAGACATTGGCGGCCCAGGTTCCCGAGAAGCAAAAATCCCTCGCCGCTTTGAAGAAAGAACATGGAAGTGAAGTGATCGGAGAAGTTACCATCGACCAGTGCATCGGCGGTGCCCGTTCTGTGAAATGTATGTTATGGGAAACTTCCAACTTGGATCCTGCCGAAGGTATTCGATTCCGTGGATTGACAATCCCCGAATGCCAAGCTGTCCTTCCCACATACTCTGGTGTTACCGGTGACGGCGAACCACTCTTGGAAAGTCTTTTGTGGTTGCTTTTGACGTCKGAAGTGCCAACCAAGGAACAAGTCGACTCCCTTACTGCTGAATTGCATTCCCGAGCCGAGCTTCCCGAACACGCCAAAAATTTGATCAACAGTCTGCCAAAGGATATGCACCCCATGACTCAATTGAGCATTGGTTTGAATGCTTGCCAGACCGAGTCGAAATTTGCGAAGGCCTACGCCGACGGCGCACCCAAGACCGAGTACCACCACCATGCACTGGAGGATATTCTTGGTGTGATTGCTGTTTTGCCAGAAATTGCTGCTATGATCTACCGAAATGTTTACTTCGATGGAGTCGTCACCAAGGACACCTCTTTGGATTATTCTGGAAATTTCTGCCGCATGCTTGGGTACGACGATCCGTCGTTCGACGAGCTCATGCGATTGTATCTTTGCATCCACACCGATCACGAAGGAGGAAATGCATCTGCGCACGCAACCCATTTGGTTGGATCCACCCTTTCTGATCCTTACCTCGCTTATGCCGGTGGATTGAACGCACTTGCCGGACCTCTTCACGGTTTGGCCAACCAGGAAGTCCTCAAGTGGATCCAAGACCTCAAGGCCAAATTCGAAGCTGAAGGAAAGCCAGTGACMGCCGAAACCATCACCGAATTTGCCTGGGATACTTTGAATGCCAAGAAGGTGATCCCCGGATACGGCCATGCTGTTTTGAGAAAAACCGATCCCCGATACACCTGCCAACGAGAATTTGCCTTGAAACACATGCCGGACGACGAATTGTTCAATGTTGTTAACACTATTTACGAGGTCATGCCCGRCATCTTGAAAGAACACGGAAAGGTTGCCAACCCGTACCCAAATGTTGATTCACACTCTGGTGTCTTGTTGTGGCATTATGGATTTACTCAATTCCAATATTACACCGTCTTGTTCGGAGTGAGCCGAGCCGTCGGTGCCCTTTCTCAGTTGTACTGGGACCGTGCATTGGGTTTGCCATTGGAGCGTCCTAAGAGTGTCACTCCCGAATGGTTGTGGTCTCAAGTAAAGAAGGATTAGGGCTTCTCATCGACTGAAATTTTTGGAATGATACCAGCAGCAATTTACACCACAGCATSTCCTGCGAGTAACCGCCAAACTACCTGGGCCTGACGAAGGGAGAGAACAAATCACATTCAAAGCTGCTAATTTATTTAATTTGCTTCATGTTTGAGAAATACAATAGTGACAACTTAAACCAATCTTCTAGGAAAAGGATTACTGTACTATTAGAAGTTTGTGTTTCGTATTTTGTCGATGAATGTCTGTAAGGTTACTCGTAGTAGGTACCAAGTACCGTACCGTACGGAACATCTGTAGCAAGAATATTGTATTATCGTATCTATCGTAGATAGAAATATTATGAATCATATGGATCGATTCATGTTGAAGAACGAAGAACAATGGGACAAAATCATTTATGGCTTTGTTGTTCCTCCAATACTTTCACGTCGACAAACCTGTTCGGTGCCAACTTAAATTTGCTTCCGCTCCTTCTCGTCGATCTTCTMGCCAATCTTCCCATCCTTTTCCTTCCATTTGCTACCACTTTTTCTTTGTTCAGTAGAATTTCGACTCTATCGGTTTCCCACATTATTTGTCTTCGTGAACAGAGGTTGCAATACCGTAGCTTTTCAAAAAATCTGGGCCCTTTTCTRCCAACTCTCTCTCTGTACAGCAACACGACGGTCAATCCATCGCAAACGTCAACAATGGCGAGAATACGGAACAAGAGGCAACCYTTGTTGCCATTCAAACCAGGGACAATGACGACTGTCGCTCKATCACCCAAGTGGCTGRTGTGCATTTTTATTATGGCGTCGTATTCGGATTGGTTTCGGCCGCCCCTGTATTGTCGAGCGCTGTCGTCTTCGTCAACACCTGCACTCGCCTACCCGACGACAACATTGGCGTCCCTGGGAAAGTCACAACTCGCCGTATTGGATGGAGCAGAATGGAATTCTATCCAAAACATACTTCGAGAAGATCGACGATCATCATCGGCATCCGCAAATGACGAGCCTACGCCCTTGACAAAATATGGATACATGAAAGTAGTGACGGGAAGGGACGAAAACAACCGACGGGTCGTAGCGATGCAATCTATGGGCAATGATGATTCCCAATCTTCTGCTTCTGTCTACGAAGACTCGGTAGCCGAAATTCCAAACAAAGTGTCGGATGCAGATGCCATCGCGACTTATATCGCCTCACTATCTGCGGTTCATTGCGCTTTGCCGCGATTGCAAAACATTGGAGGAGCCGATAGCGACTCTTCGGCTTGGACCTCGAAGGGAAAGGCAGTTGTTCTTGGATCGGGGGACCTGGCATGCTTTTCTGCAGAAGGTTTGGCAAGTCTGGGACTGGAAGTATATCTTGTCAACAACAAAGGTAGTGGCAATGTGCGGAAGAATGTCGGCAAATGTAAGTGGAATAGGTATAGCACTTGGGTTACCTTCGTTGTTAAATTGGTCGCCGTATTTTATTCTGAAACCGACGACTTTTTACAACACAAAATATTGTCGATAACTCGAGAGTTATGTTTTATTTTCTAACGCAATTTTCTAACGTCAAAACCGACGAACTCATCCGTTAAAATAAAAAATTGAATGATCTTTCTATGAACCGGACATGGAAAATAACCAGTGCAAGTGATCAAGCCAGAGGTGGGAGATGATGACTTAGGATTTGCGTCTTATTTGGGTGAATTCGACAGCTTGGTGGACACAATCGGCAACGAACGAACTTCTTTCACAGAGGATGGTGATGGCATGTTKKCACTCGGAGAATCCGTATTGCAAATGCTAAAGAGTCGCCATAAATGCTATAATTATGTRTCCACCCTCACGAATTCCCAGGACATCGTAGCGAGCGATGGTCTCTTCGGTGGGCCCGGGAAAGCTGACGGAAACTGTGAAAAGGTCGGAAATCTCTCCTTTTTGACAAGAAGTCGRGATTGCCGATCTATTGAGCCTCCGAGAGACATTGGTARTACAWTGGAAAAATTAATGAAAAATGGAGTGATTCTGAGTGATAAACAAAGAAGTAAGGCATGTTCGAAAAAGTCCGATGCGATTCGGGGCTGGTCGCTGTCCGATTTTTGGGAGCAAATGTCGTGGCCACGTGATTCTTCTGGAAGCGGGACAACACGCTTTGGTCTCCCGGTCAGAGATGACCCAGATGATGACGAACTYATGATTTCTGAAGCACCCTATGATCCCTCTCAAGCATACAGAAAAGGCTACCGSGATGACGATAATTATGACGACGTTGGCGAGTTCGGAAAGTCTGCAACGCCAACTTCGCCAAATCCTACCAACAGAGCGATTCAGAAGAACCCCTAYGTTTTGGATATCATGGATATCGACGGATTGCAAAGCGAAGTARTCGGGCCYGGGAAAACCTGCATCATGTTCATGAGTGCAAGATTTTGCAAAACATGTAAGACGATAAATCCCGCTTATACRCGCATGGCACGAATTGGTGCAGAAAATGGCAATGCTGAAAATTTCTCTTTTGTAAAAGCTGAGACTTCGGGTGCATCAGGAAAAGAGCTTGCTGCGAAGTTGTCTGTGAAGGCGGTGCCCTCGTTTGTTTTTGTCCGCGATGGTAAAATATTAGGCCAGACATACGTTTCAAAGCTACCTTCCAAAAAGATCCAACAAGCCGTTCAGATCTTGACAACAGGTGCAGATTGGGATAATGCACTGCTAGACGACAACAAAAAATGATCGAACAAATCAATCATTCATTCGATCATTCGACAGCTAAGTTGTGCTAGAGAGATTCTYACCAACAGCAACGCTACATTGTACATAAGTCGTACTTATCGAAACATAYATATCTACGTGTAACCGTTAACAACTACAGTAAATGATTATTTTGCTACTAAAGACACCAACTTTTGAGTTCACTTCGGATWACTCGAGTGGGGAAAAATCAATTTTTTCGCAAATTGCAGTCGCATAATTTAAGCGTTTCTCTTTGCGATGCTCTATAATAGTATGGGGTCAGTGATATTTATGCATCGGATCATATTGAACCACAAGGTATTCATTCATTGACAAACATGATCGTATTGCTTTGTGCCCTTTTTCAACTGATTGCCACCCCATATTATATTGTAGTCGCAGCCCCTGCTTTGTTTCCAGACTCAAGAAATATTTGTTGTGGTATATTATGGATTCCGTGATACGTTGTGTTGTGCTTTGGTACCACAGATATTGCATCAAATGGTGCCACTTCGATCAAGCCGGCATCGAGATCGAGCTTGTAGGCTTTTTCTTCCTCTGTTTTGAATCCAATGACATCGACCTCAACACCCTGTTCAGAATTAGCTACGATCCATGGTCAAGACATAAAACTCGATAAGAAAAGCCATTTAACAGCATCTCCGTTCTTCTTGACCGATGTCAACCATGAACTTACGAAATTTTATAACATATCCATCGAAGGCTTTTGCTAGTTTTATAAATTGGCACCAGCCCGAAAAGTATTTCCGCCTATTCTGATCTCCCCCAGCAATGCCTTTAATTAGCTCTACTCTTCCTCCGCCTTGTTTGAACTTAAAACCTTGAATGGATCGTCCGGGTCCGGCACACCTACAAAAAGTATTGTTTGGGTTAGCTTTGYTGAAATGGAATATTAACTACACTATCTTTTCCCCGAAAAAAAAAACCAGCATTTATCAGTGGACATACCAGAAACCAACAGCATTTTTTGGGATTCTATCCTTGCTGTATAAGAGCATGAGGCGTCCACCCGAGGAAGCCTCAAAGATGAGGTAACAGCCCTCAGGACTCTTGACTCCATCCACTATTTCATCCATGTTACTAGTGCTACACGTGCTTCTTCTTTCTTCGACTATATTCCGTTACAGCAAAGTCTTTTTCTAATCGATCTTTAGCTTCAAGTACTAGTCTTCGATGAGAGTGTTACAATAGAAGAGGGGATGGGGTTCAGTCGGAGATGTGATATCAATATCCCTCTTGTCATCGTCGAGAAAACTTCGAAAACATGATTTTCCATTGTTTTGTTCCCCTTACCGTACTGTACCTGGTACTGACTGTACACAGCAATATTGTTCACCCAAACGCAACTTCCAAACTTCAAAATTCAAATTCAGTCCCAACCTCGGAAAMCGACACCCAGGTTAGCATTAACCTTAGCATTTTAAAACAATTCTGAGTGGTTTTCATTCTTGTGGCTTCGCTCTGGTGGAAAGTACGAGTACTACCCGTACTTTYACCTACCGTACGATCGTCTGGTAGTCCAAAACTGTACATCTTCTAGTAGTGAAAGCCGCAGTRCGATTAGGTACGAGTATGGCAGTTCTATGACCAAAGCCAAAAACGGCAATTGCCTCTCTTTATCGTATCGTGTTGGCCGGTGACAGTTGAGAGCAGCAMGTACGRTGCTATTGCTATTTAACTCTCTCCGCAATAGCCGTCATCAGTCTTCGGCACAMAGTCTCTCAGTAACTGGTTTTCTATCAAACTAAAAGTTTAAATAAAAAACGAACAGCCCTTAAGTTTCGAGCGTCTGCAACAATTCATCTTGTCACTACAAACCAGCATGGTAAGGCTCAARAAACAAAGACGCTGTCCCGCTGAAATGSATTGTTTCAATTTCTTTCCTCCTTTCTCATTCGAATGCAATTCTTCAACGGAAATTCTCGCTCGTTTGGATTACGCACGGTTKTGATTTGCATTTTTGGTGCTGGGCTCGCTCATTGTACCGTTCTTGAACKACGAAACGTCGCGAATCCATAGATCCGATTCTTCCTCCTACAAAACCGTCAGGGGAAAACCCGATTATCCAAATGGTACATCCCACCACCGACGACGACGTCCACCGGAACTTCAACAACATTAGAGGCGGAAAAGTCGCGCATCGAAGCKGAGGTTCATCGATTGGTGACGGCCCGAGACAAGAAATACACGAACTTTATCGAATACAACAACTACAAAGTCATATACCGACGATATGCGGGACTCTTCTTCACAATTGCTGTAGATGTTCAGGACAACGAGCTGTCGTATTTGGAAACCATTCATTTATTTGTGGAATTACTGGATGCCTACTTTCGAAATGTTTGCGAGCTCGATATCGTGTTTAACTTTAACAAGGTGTACAGCATTCTCGATGAATTTATGCTTGCGGGGGAAATGCAGGAAACGTCAAAACAGGAAATTCTTGATCGCGTAAAGTTCATGGAGAAAATGGAATAAAAATGAGACGAGAGGAAGTACAATCGATTATCCCATTTTATTGAGCAAGTGGACAACAAAATCCAACGACGAAGGAAAGGTCGGAAGCTATCGGACACAAAGATTTGAAAGAGATCAGTAMCTCTYTTCGTAGTGTCCATGGGAACGAATGAGACGAAGGWCRAACAAATAGAGAAAGCCCAGTTATGAGTGAATGCGCTTTTTTGTTGCATTYTGCATGAGCGGGATAGGGTCCGTGCGCGAGAAGTGGAARTTGTTTTCAGGGGCTGCGTGGCATACCATGATCAAGATCCCCTACTTTACGAACAAACAAATTTTTAAATGTTTTAATAATGTTATCCCATCTATATTCGACTATACAAAGTACGAAGTATMTTACATAATGCCATTTCATCTGGTACGGTTYGTTCAATGGCAGACGAATTGACGACGAGTCAAACTTATATTTGTTAACTTCGAGAACGAGGGATGACATTAGGGAATACAAATACACTACACMAAGTCATAATATATCAGCGTTGCACCGAGGGGCACTACTCCAGCTGTGGAGCGCCACACGCTCCAAAGAATTTCAAGTGTACTTCCGACAAAAAATTTACGAAGAAGAATACTATTCACCGTTGGCATCGTTTACACCAACGGTTCTGGTCATAGGCGACGATTTTCTGTCACCTAGGGACGGAGGAGTCCGTCTTCGCTTCCGAGATTCTAAATTTTCGAAACAATAGGTTTCTAGAAAGAGGAAATTCCTTGCTGTTGGTCCCTTCTTCTCGGCACCATCTATTTTTGTGTAATTTGGCAGCATTGCTCATACTGAGAGAGCAGTAGGATGGCTTGGCATAACTCGCATTTATTTAGAGGCCGCTGCCATGATGGTTCTATTRCGCTTCTCGACTTTTTGTGCCAGCCTGCGAATCAAYCGATACGTCACGTTCCACCCCCTAAGTGCCGCCACACATAACAACGCGTATCCCGATATGATTCCTCCCAGCCCAAAATAGGACACGGGGGTCCCCTTGCTCCGGTCGAGTCCCACGAAGAGGGCTGTTCCCGTCGATAAGGTCGAAGCTCCTAGCAGAGCAGGGACCAGCGCCACGAATTTAGAAAAGCGCATGCAAAAGGTGGAAACCCCCCCAGGGGGCGTTGCGGACAGCCACGCATTGAGGATCCCCGCGAGCCCGGTGGCCGTCAGGGAAGTGTAGAAACTCAGGGCGCAGGAACCCGCATAGGCGTCGTGCAAGCGCTGGGGTGGGACGCCCCAACTGACCAGGAGGCTCGTTCCCGCTGCGTGATTCGGGTACTCGAGAACGACGTGCTCGATAAAGGAGGATCTCCGCCTGAGCGGGCCCACTGCGGGGGGGACAAATTCCGGTGGCTTGAGGCCGTTGATCTGACGGCTGTTGGAACGGTGGTAATAATATTGGTCTTCTTCTTCTTGAGTGTTTTCCGGAATGGACGGAAAATCGACGGCCAGTAAAGCCGCCGAAAGTGAGCACATTAGCGTGGCAAGTACGCCATACATTCGCGTGACGCTGTCGAGTTTGTCGGTCAAGAGATCTTCCTGTTTCTGACAGAGCGTCGCGAGATCGTACCACGGATCCAAGTACCGCATAAATTCGGGGCGTGGGTGAAGAGGGTGCGGGCTCTTCGATACAGCATACAACTTGGAGAAGGAGGTCAAGCCGCTTGCGCTCGATCCCAATTCAGTTTCGAGTTGCTTTCGTTTAATTCTRGATTTGAGGGATGCTCGGCTGCGTCCAGATCTTCTACGTCTGCTGAAAAAGAATCGTATCGCCGAAGTGTCGATACGATTATTTTGAATMGCATTCGTATTTACTATCGGTTTAAATTCCCTTTCACCCCATCGAGTTACTCTAATGTCGGTGCATCGTTGTGTTGCACTTGGACCGCTGCTTCTGCTGAATCCACCAAAGCGATTCAAGAACAGCGTGTTCCTGATCATGATGTCAGAGAAATAAGTTTCGAAAAAATTCCACTCAATTTACGTGTCTTCGAAACAGTCCAGGGATTGTTGTTCCATGAGTCACAATGGCAGCATAAACTTGACTGCGGGTGAGAATAATAGGCTTCGAGCTTCGAAAAAAACCTACGGCACAGCAGAGAAACTCAAAAACAATCAAAAGGAAGAGTTACCACGTACGCGTCTGCTTGCTCGTTGACCATAATACGCCTGTAGCATACACACCGCACATGTGAGGCTTCAGAATTTCCAGTGAAGGTTAAAAATAAAATACTACGTACGTACAGTAAAAAATTATACTGGTAATTCATGTAATTCTCACTCTTTAAAAATAACAACTGTTTCTAATAGAAGATCTTACTACTGAGGATACAATATCAGAAGTCAGAACTGTGCTTAAAAATTTCCGTCGCTACTTCTGGATACTGTCCGTTAGCATTCTATGAGCCAGCGAGAAAAAACATTTTTTTAAAACCGTTAAAAATGAGCTATTTACTGATTGGACTACTAGATTGAAATCAAGTTCATGAATTAATGAAAGAACTATCCTTTGGATTGTGAAGTGTACCGTTACTACTTAACTCAATTGTGCCGCACGGTTATGGCATCATGAGAATAACCGTCAGATGCACTACGGTTCAAGAGTTGCAAAGAAGAAAACGGTGATTAGTGTGAAAAGCGCGAATCCAAGAGYCCCATWATGATCGGCGATAGTCATTGCTATCGTTGCCGTCGGTGTCGCTCTTTSTTGCCTTTYTATGCTCTGGTTTTGTTGACACTGGTTCTCGTCGTTTCGGCTCTTGTAGATGGAAGCACGGATAGCCACGAAGTAAAATCGACAGCAACAGCGGAACCAGGGGGYGAAGACAAGACATCGGTGGCAATMACCGATGCTGCCAAGAGGTTGATTCGACTCGGGTTGCTTTTTGAGTTGGACGATCGCCGCCTCGATTTCGATAGCGATCGTTCTTCTTGGATCGAAGACCTCACAATTGTTCTGGGTCCATYGTTTCGGAGGGAAGAAATCGAATCGTTGGTACACGAAGYAAAGAGCGAAACAACGGAGAGAGCGACAGGAACAAAAGGAACAAGTACTACGAGTACCGGCAGCGTTGATCGCACGGTCGATGGAGAATGCTCGGCGGCAGCGTCGCCGACATTGACACCGGAAGAAAATCCAGGCGGCAATGGCCAACCAAACAAACACGACAACAACACGTTCACCGGAGACCGCCACGCGGCTGGATTGCTGGAAATTGTAGRCGATCCGGATTGCATGCACGGRGAACTAGATGCCAGCAGCCCCTCTTTCGATATCGATGACGCCAAACGAATTCTCGTCAAGTGTAGAATGCTGGTCCTCCGGAATCTCTTTCCCAAGGAAGTCACGGACGCGGTCCTTCCGAAATACGCCCGGTACGTGCAAGACATCCGCGGCGGAGCCATTCGATCCGATGCAGGAACCACCACCTTTGGAGGAGACTATTTTATTCTGAAGGAGGACCACGACGAATCGAGGTTCAACTACCTTGCCACGAAGGAGCTCGTGCAGCAATCGGYCGGCCTCTTGGATTCSGAGGTRCTGGTGGAGCTCTTGTCGGACCCCTCTCTCCTGGGAGAGGACGTGCTCGTGAACCACGTGGGAACCATCCATGCCCTKCCSGGCGCCCRTGCGCAGTACTGGCACACCGATGGCCCCTACGTGTACCAYGAGGACGACGAGGCCGGTGGCGGCGTCCGCGTCGCGGGCCACGACCTGCCGCCCTACGCCATCAACATGTTCACGCCCCTGGTGCCCCCGGCCGTCACGCCGGAGGACGGTCCGACGGAGTTCTGCCTCGGGTCGTCCTACCTGCGGGGCCACGACTACGAGGCCGACCTCCCCGTGGCGGACCAGGGCCTCCTGACTAGGAAGGACGGGATYGTCGAGGACCTCCAGGAATTCGAATGGGCCGTGGAGCACTAYGGGCACCTCGGGGGGATCGAATGCCCGGGGGTCCTGCGAAGGGCCCCGCTTCTGGGCACCGGGGACGCCCTCCTCTTCGACTWCCTGGTCACCCACCGGGGCGGGGCCAACACCAACCAGGGCAACCCAGACGGGAGGTCCATGGTCTTTGCGTCGTACAGCCGGAGGTGGTTCCGGGACACCAACTTCGATTCGGACTTTGGGCACGGAAGCGACGACCCCACCGAACTGGAGGAACTGACCAAGCTCACCCGGTACGCGGTGGTTGTGGAGGGGGAGGACCGGAGGAACGAACGGGCGGGGCACAAGGGTGACGCCTAGCGAGGTTCTTCTCTCGGAGGGGAGAACCCGGTGTGCCGCACCGCATTTCGTCGCGTCGCGTCGAATCGCGTCGAATCGAATCGCATCGCATCGCATCGAATCGAATCGCATCGCATCTTTTCGCATTGCATGCCGGCCTGTCCCCGCCGCCCCCGCCGTGTCCCGTCGATCCAGACCCCCCGGCATCCCGCTCGGGTGCGGTGCGAAACGAAACGACAAAGAGGGAGCAGCCCTCCTAAACATTTTGCCACCAAAGCCAATTTCCCTGCAAAGAGAGCAGGAGCATAGATATGGCAATGGCAATGGCATTTTTACGCTAGTACGTTACGAGTGCATGGAAGGATTTGTGGGCTTCGGGCTGGTTCTAAGATAGATGGTGCAGTTTCGTAATTTGTTTTWTTTGGCTATGTTTTTGTAAGGTGTGTCTTCTGTAATTCCCCGTTTGTTTTTGTGTGTTTTGTTCTTGCGTTGTCGCAGAACCGAATCGCACGGTAGATGGATCGAGTTCTTGCCTCTCTTTCTCTCCACTCGCGTTTGTTTTGCTTCTATTGTTCGTGTTGTTGTTCGTGTTGGTTGGCTGTTTGGTCGGCGGGCGGCGACAACTGCAAATGCAGTACCGTGCTTGCCTTTCTCGGTTTCCCGCCAAGCAAAACGTCTTTCGTTCCCTCCCCTCGGATTTTTTGTCGAAGTGCAGCACCTTTCGTCCGCTTCTCCCCGATGCAGCGTTTTTGTGGCGTTTATTGCAAACGCACTTGAACGCTTGGTCTTGTTTCTTTTCCCGAGCATCTCCTCCCCGAGATTGCCATTCTTTGCTCGCATCGGATCCGTATCGAATCCGAACCGAACCGAACCGATTCGTTTGTTTTGCTTTGTTTCGTTATGTTTTATCTTGTTTTGTCTTGTTTTGTTTTGTCTTGTCTTGTCTTGTTATGTTTTGTTTTGTCTTGTTTCTTGTGCTGTTGCAAATGCATTGCGTTGCTCATGCACTGCACTACACTGCACGGCACGGCACGGCGCTCCGATCTGTTCTGTTCTGTTCTGTTCTCTTGTGTTCTCTTTTCTTGTGTACTCTTGCGTCTTCTATTCCCCGACGAGGATGGTCATGAGGTGCTCGTACATGTGCTTTTCCAGGCCCCCGCGGCCCTCGGGCTGCCAGCGGCGGTGTCGCCACCCGCCACCGAGTTCCTCCCCGTCCGTGGCCATGGCTTCGTCGTCGTCGTTGTTGTCGCCACCGCCGTCGCTGCCGCCCCCCACAAAGAGCTCGTGGACGGTCCGCACGAGCTCGGACCGGAGGCGGTCCCCGGCCTCGCGGGAACCGGATGGGGAGCCGGATACCGACGCCGACGCGGATGCCGACGCCGACGCGGACCACGAGGGCTGTCCCAGGACGCCGCGGACGATGCCCGTGGCGACAAAGTAGAGCTGCCAGAGCTCCGTGTCGCCGACGGGGGCGTTCCGGTCGGAGGTCCTCTTGAGMAAGGGGCCGTKGTCCCCCCCCCTCCCGACCAGGAGGCGGAGGACGATCCCCAGCCCGTCCGTGGCCCGGTAGAGGTTCCCGACCAGGGTGGGGGACGGCTGGAAGGCCCGGCCGGGGGAAGGACCGGCCRCTKGGGCCTCGGGCTCGGGCGTGACGAGGCGGGAGAGGAACTGGCAGCCCGCGAGGTGGACGTCGAAGTTGGACGGGAACCTCCGGAGGGCCTCCACGACGGCGTCGAGGCTCCCCGCGCAGTAGATCTGGTAGCGGACGGACCGGTTGGTGGTGCCCCCGGACGGCCCGGCGCCGGGGCGTTCGTGTTCGTTTTCGCGTTCGCTTTCGCTGTCGTCCATGGAGGTGCTGCTCCCCGCACCGGCGCAGCCCGGATCCGTCGAGAGGAGCTCCCGGAGGATCTGGCAGCACCGAACGACCACCGGGGCGAGGCGTTCCTCGCGGTCGCGGAGGGAATCCTTTGTGCGGTAGTTGTTGTTGTGGTTGTAGCCATCGCCGAAGCCATCGCCGTAGCTCTGGCCCCAGCCCTCGTCCATGGCATCGGGACCGGCCACCCGCCCGTGTCCTTCGCCTTCCCGGATCCCCCGGAGGCTCTCGGTGCAGCCGTCGAGGAGGTCCGTGAGCATCCAGTGGCCCCCGGCCCCCAGGAGCTCGAGGCGGTGCTTGTTCCTCGAGGAGGCGTCCTTGTTKTTCCGGGCCGCCACCTTGTGCCAGAGCCGGTCCAGGCCCCCCACCACGGTTCCGAACGGGCGTTGCTGACGATTGTGTTGCTGTTGATACTGTTGCTGCTGATACTCTTGCTGCTGWTMCTSTTGCTGTTCTTGCCCGTCCGGCTCGTCGGCGGAAAAGTAGCCGTAGCTTCCGCCGTTCCGGGCCCGGGAGAGGCAGGACCGGAGGATCCCCTGGACGGTGTCGTCGAAGCTTTCGTCCTCGTCGTAGGATTCCGTGGCCATCGCCGAAACGGACGAGGACGACAGGGAGGAGGACGAGCGGGAGGGGAATCCGAGGCTTGGGTGGCACCCCTCGTGCTCGAACCCGTGCTCGAATCCGTGCTCGAACCCGTGCYCGAGCCCACCCATTTCCGCCAGGCCCTTTGCCATTCGCCGCCGCTTCGACGGGCGGCTCGTGGCTCCAACCTCGATCCTCCAGAGGTGGCTGTCGTCGTCGGGTCCCCGGTAGTTGGATGGCATGATGGTTGGCTGACTGACTGGCTGGTTTTGCTTGCTGTGGGCGGTGTGCCTTTGTGGTGTTTTGTGGTGTGGTCGAATCCGGGCTGGACTGGACTGGACTGGACTGGTCTTGTGCGAAGTCGCAAGTGCGTACCGTACGGTAACTCGTACGGTCGATTCGGTTTGATGGGTTGCCGTTGTGAGACCGCAAAATCGGCGTTTTTGTTTTTTCTTCTCTGGTTTTGAAAGAACAAGACCCTCGCTGTTTCCGAGTTTGCTGGAATAGGTTAGGTACGAGAACCGTACTATCGTTCTGCGCGCAGCGTCGATCAAAGCGAAAAAAAGAAAGATCACTCGGATCGATCCTCGCTCTCGAGCCTCGGAATCGGTATGAGCGGTACAAGTACTCGTACCACCAAGTACCAGATCGTACCGCACGCATCGCATCGCATCGCATCAATCAAGAAGCGGATTTTGGAACCACTGGATCGGAAACGGTCGGACGTACCGTACAATTACGGGTTGTGCGATACGATCACCGGCGACGACGATTTTGATTGGTGGATCCACAACCCGCAGGTCGGCGCGATCCTCCGTGTTGCGCGGTATCGCCCGGCTYCGTGCTCGCACACGCGCGGGACACACGCCACCACGCGCGGAACACAACAGACGGCGGACAAACCAAACGAAAGGGGGGGGAAGGAACGCCGGCAATTGCAAACGGGGGATGGATCGATGGATGGATCCATTCGTTCAGGGATGATTCCGGCATTCCATGCCATGCCATGCATTCCTTTCTTTTTTGGGAGGCAACCGATCGGATCGGAAGCCGAGCGAGCCACGAACCAAGATGATCCGCGACTCAAACGACGTCCAGCACGGCATTACGAATTTCGTACATGCCGGTACCGTAGGTACGTACTGGTACCAGCACTTGTCTTGTGGCTCCAAGAAATACCTTTGGGTACGGGTACGGGTTAGTTGCGCTTCATTGGTACTATCGTAGTAGCAAGTACCGTTCTGCACTTAGTAGTAGCCATACTCGTACTACTGCCGTTCTCTACATACGGTACGAGTAGCGTACAACGTGAAAACAAAAATGATGCTACCGTTGGAGCTAGCTGTCAGCAGTAGGAAACAACGTATCCGTACCTACCGTAGTACGAGTACTCGTACCAGTACTCGTASCCAAACCTCGCTTCGGTCCGGGGCCGGCGGCASGAAAAAGAGACAAAAGGACACWTCCGCATGCCAAAAAAGAAACTGGAATCGAAACCGAGAGACACTCTACCGACCGAAAGCTTCTCACTGCGGCATTGCGGTGCCGTTCTCTCCCTCAATTTCTGCAACAGCAACAGCAACAGCAACCGRCACAACACCAGCATCCTCGGCCTTTGCAGWCTGGACGACGGACACGACAGCATCAACGGCAATCACAACAACAGCAACAATGGCCAAGGGAAACGACGGATCGGCGGCCCGCCGCCGGACCACGAAGAAGCTCCTCGCCGCGGCGGCCTGCGCCCTGGCGATCGTGGCAACCGTCGCCTTCTTCGGAAGCCCCCCGGCGGGCCAAGAAAGGGTAGAAATCGGCTACCACGGGCACGAAGGGGAGCGGGGCCTCGATTCCTACGAGGGAGGAAACCCGCGCCGCCGGAAGCACCACAAGCACCACAAGGCCGGTAACCACAACAACAACCATAAAAATAACTACTACGACAACAACAACCGTAACAACAACAACAACCACAACAACAACGGCGAGCGGAGGCACAAGCACCACAAGGGGGAAAAGATCACGGCCTCGGACTACCACCGGGCGGAGATCGGGAGGAGGAACGCGGAAGGCGCCACGGACCGGAGGCACCAAGGCCGCCACGGATTTGGCGGCATCGACGACGACCTGCATGCCCGGATGGCCAAGCGGTTCCGGCCCMGSGGCGAACGAGAACCCGGAAACTTRGACGACGGGAGCGAGAGCGGCAGCGGAGACGCCGCAAGGGCCATCACACCGGGCAGCGACGACCACGGCCTCGCGGGCTTTCGGGCCTGGAAGGCCGACCGACCGGGCGAACCAAGCGAAAGCGAAAGCCAGAGCGGAGACGACCGMCCTTACCCGCCGCCCGCCCTCCTGGCCAGGATCCGCCGGGAGCTGATCGAGGAATCGGGAGAGGGGGCAACCCGCGGGGGGGACGTCCTGGACGCGGTCCTGGCCGGGTCGACCCACCTGGTCTCGATCGGTGCAAACTCCCGCCTGGGGACCTCGCGGGACGGCTCCTACCAGGGGGTCACCGGAAGGTTCTGCAGGCTGGACTTTGGCCTGCACAAGAAGGACCCCTCCAAGTGTACGTAACGTAACGTAACGCAACGTAGCAGAGCAGAGGAGCGCAGCGCACAGCAGAGAAGCGCAGCACAGCGCGGTACGGTGCAGTGCGGTCCAGTGCATCGTGCTCTGCCTGCCTCGTGGTTGGTTCGCTCGTTCCGGTGCGAAAGGATGCCACGCAGGTTGCCCAAGGGCGCTGCTCGATCGAATCGAACGGATCGGCCAACCCTCGTCTCATTCGTTTGCTTTTCCTTTCGCTCTTTCTCGTTTCGTTTCATTTCCTTTCGTTGTGTTTCGCTCCATTGCTTGTGGTTTGTCTTGATCTCGGTGCCTTGCTCCGGACAGACCCCATGTTCCGCTTCCTCCTGCAGGGCTCCCCCGACTGCGCGAACGAGAACCAGGTGTCCTTCGACCTGAGAAAGCTCGCCGTGTTGGCGCGGCACGCCGACCGGGCCGCTTCCGAGCGCGACGGGGAGGCCCACGCCCTCCCCAGGGCCCTCAACCTCACGGCGGTGGCCTTCCACGAGAGCCGCTGCGGGTCCACCCTGGTGGCCAACAGCATGATCGCCATGGACCCGGA